TCCATTTCCTATACATCGCAACCCAGGGACCAGGAGCGTCGGCTATGCTACAACATTTGCTGGCTTGAGGAGCTAGGCGCCTCACTAGTGGAAGCTGCTACGCGAAAAATATGCGAGGCTGTGGTGTCCCACGTGCATGAAAGTATCTCCAGAGATGAGGCCCAAGCAAGGCCACAGATTCAGAATGCAAAATTTAGGAAGATTCCGATTGCCTCAGATGGTATGTGTGGTTGGCATGCCCTAGTTGCAGTTCGGGATTTGTCTAGATATCAGCAAGTTCCACGGAATGAAGGAGCCTACCCATGCAGCAAAAGACTATTGATAGAGCAAGAACAAGCTGCCAAGGAACTCCATAGCAGTGTGTGCAAGCAAGCGCTTGAAGTCTGCCATCCCAGGTTTCACGATGCGATTCACAGGGTCATGGGAGACCCGCAGTATATCCCAACTGACCTGGAGTGGATAGCCAAAGCCTGCAAGACCACAATACGATGCACCTGCACTACTCAGGCTCTTCAATTTTGAAGAACCACACTTAGAAACTCTGACCAGAATGAGCCCCCAAAGTACCAAAACGACCGGGTCAGTGTTTAAAGAAATAAGTACACGGATATATTGTTACATTGTGTTATAATATATACAAATATTTGGTATGCAAAATGAATCCGGTTTACGCTGCGCTGCATCCATTTTGGGTGTTTATTTCGAGCCCCTGAAGAGGTTGGGTTGTGCAATGGGAAGCCTGCTGATGTTTGTTACGGAGAGGAGCCAGTGACAGCTCATTTGCTCTTTCATTTTGAGCAATCAGTGGCAGAAGATCGCATATTTGGCCACTACAGTTTGTTGATTCCCTCTAGAGCGCGAGCAGAAACTGGCGGCAAAGATGTCCTTGTCTTTCCTGATGCTGTATCCTGGCACAATTGGGGTTCATAATGAGCCTGCTAATGAAATCCATTGACCGCATAAAGCTTTGGGCATATTCAGGCGGCTGTAGATGTGGAAGAGTGATATGATATGCTATGTAGCTATGTATATATTATGTATAGTGATGTTCCTTGTGTAAACTATGGCTGTTTTGTTCCATCTCCAAAACGCTGAGGTCTTGCCAGAGAGAACTAAAGAATGCACCAGCTTCCTGCAGCAAATTTGCGGGTGCCTTCTTGATGCCCCACGCGACAATTTGTTTCCAAGGATTGAGCTCATTGATCCCGACACGCAAGTTGTGAAGTATACAGTTGGCTATGACCATGCCCACCACGGCTTTTGGAGAAGGGATGAACAAACTTACGATGTGACTTTGGTTGAGAGAGAAAACTTTTCCAAGACCTTGCAAGCTGAATGGGAACTATCGGACGGTGATATTGCTGATTTGCTAAAGCCAGCCGGTGTGAAGAAGGAAACCTGCAGTTTGTCATCTCCGGATTTGGGGGCGTCTCATCCTGAGGGTGCAGAACCTACGGAGGAAGAAACTGAGCAGCAACATGCCAGCAGGATTGTATGGAGCCCCATTACATCAGAACAGATAGAGCTGGCCCTTGCAATACTAAAAGGTGTCAGAGTCTCCGGTGAAAGGTGTGGCATTCCAGCGCCAATCTCAGCCACCTCAGCCAGAGTGAAGATCATCGACCAAAGAGATCACTTAATCGCAATGCAACAGATGTTCAACTGCCGGGCCACATTTGCTCCATGTGTGCCAAGAACTTCTGAAACAGCAATGAGGTCAGCACACTTGGAAACGTCACCATCAGCAACCCGCACCAGTGAAGCGACCACCCAAGCATTGGATGCTAC